GCCTCTGCCTCCCGAGTGCTGGGATTAAAGGCGTGCGCCACCACCGCCCGGCGTGTTTCTTATTTAATAAGACTGTTTAGAATTACATCTATATTGCCCACTTCCTCTTGCCAAGATAGGGACAAACATAGTACATGTATGAGGAAAAAGGATGTGTTGCTCACACCTCCTTTGGGAAAAGGCATTAGGTCCTCACCCAGTAGCTTTGGAACCTTCTTAGCAACAGAACTATGTTTTCAATTTACTTAACTGAAAGTCCCACACCTCTGCTAGATACAAAGAACTTCCATGGTTGATATTAGATATCTTCTACATGCTCTTCCAACCCAACCCATTCCAACCCAAACACTTGAGCCCTTGCTTAGAATGTAGTCTTCCATAAAACCCAATTCCATAAATTGTTCTCAGTTTGGGTGGCCTTCTCTGCTACTCTGTGACTTTTACAATGTTCAGAGCTTTATCTGGAAAGCTAATGATGGCCCCACAGATTTATCATTATGGGCCATGACTTCTCAGAAGAGGACAACAAAAAAATGATCATGTCACATCTCTTAGTGAGGGCTGCCTCAAAAGAAAGATTTTTGAGATAGGGACTTGAGTGTGGGACATTTCTTCAAGAGGATAATCCCAGAGAAGCAGGGGCCAGGGGCGTGCGATGGTGAGAAGGAGAAGAGCAGTTTATTACAGAAGTCAGTAGTGGGCAAGCACATAAGCAGCTGTGCTGTGCCTTGTCTTGAGATTTCCTGAGAGGTTCATGGAACCTGCTGAAGACAATACAGCTTTTCCAGCTAGAATGCCCAGGCTTACTTCCATTTCATTCAGAAGAAGTGAAACTCTCTTTCCCATCCAACACTGTCCTCAAGAAAATGTTACCCTTCAAAGCTTGAGAACAATCATCATTGGGATAGGTTCCTGTGGGTAGGTTAAGCCAACAGAATGCAAAGCTGTGCATGCAGCATGCTTAGAAGGTAATTGGAGGATGGGGGCTGGGACAAAGAGAGACTGAAAGAGGTGTACTAGAGGAATAAATAACAGATGACATCTGATCAATGGTCCACACTTAACTTAGGCCAGTGGTCTACAAGTGTGGCCTCTGGTCCAACCACATCAGCATCGCCTGGGTGCTTATTAGAAATGCCAATTCTTGGTCTATCTAAACCTAGGCTTACACACTGAGAATATCTAGGAATGAGTCCTTATGTATGCCGAAATGTGAGGTTTCCTGATTTAAGCTGGTTAATCAGGCCTGTATTACCCACTGTGCCTGGAGCTGGAAAGACACAGATGGTCTCTGTCCTCTGGAATGTTAGGATGTGGCAGGGATGGGAAAGCAAGTGTCTATGGCAACAAAAGCCTGCGAAGAACGAGTTATGTGGATAATCTATACTAAAGGAAAAAGTCTCAGGAAAGTGAACGCTAGAAACCTCAGCAAAACAGAGGAGGGGGGATCAAAGCATGAGAGAAGCAAAAAGAAGAGGGTGGAGAGCAAAGGTGGAGAATAGCAAGGCAAGGGAAAAATAACAGGAGTGAGAAAGAGTCTCTAGCTCAGTTTTCTGCTAGTCTGGCTAGCTCTGGAATGTGCCCCAGGCAAGTGGGTGGAGCTTAGTTTGCTTGGCTGATGTAAGCAGGCAGGTGGGGGGGGGGGGGGGGTGGAAAGCTGAAAGTTCCCAGTAGTCTTTAAAGTCTTTCCAGACAGAATATTGGAAACCTAATCATATCAGTTCAGTGTCTGCCAGTAGCAGGTAGCCATTGGTCTTTGGACCATTCTGTACCTTCAGAGAGAATTCTGCTACCCAGGGATGCTGCAAAGTGACCTATACAGGTTTTCCTAAGCAAGTGTCAATTAAAAGTGTTATGATCCTTCCCATACTGCACCTAGTGGCATATACTATTTATGTTTGTATATAGTTCCCTGGCCTTTAAAAAAAAATCTATCAAGTTTCTCTTTTCCCCTTCCACTTTGCAGTGCCTGAGTTACCATGGAAACAATACAGCCTCGGTGAGATGGGCGGGGCCTAATTCATTAGTATAGAAAGTTATTTTATGAGGTAGTTGTATATTACATATTACATATATACCCATTTTACATCACTTAATATGCACATCTATAAGTATATGCCCACATATAATTATGAAATTTGGACTTTAGAGAAGTCCTGAATTTTCCAAAGGAAAAGCACACTTGAAAAGCAGAGAATGTGGGATCAGTGTCACACACTGCCTTGGCCATGACTTACAACTTGGTGCATAAGAAGAGAATGTTTGGTGAGGGAGCAGCAGGCCAGAAAGCAGAGTGTTGGCAATGCAGATGCAACAGCTAGATTCCCGCTTTGTGTGGCACTGTTCTTGTTGTGGTGACAGACTTCCTGACGAAAACAGCAGAAGGAAGGGACCTTTCTTTTGGCTCACCACTTAAGAGATCCAGTCCATCATGGCAGGAAAGACAGAGTCAAGAATACAAGGCCGCTGGTCACTTTGTGTCCACAGTTAGGAAGGGAAAAGCTAGCAGGAAGTGGGGCTAGGTTATGGAAGTTCAAGGCCTGTCTTCATCGACCTATCTCTCCCAATGAAGTTCCACCTTCTAAAGGTTCTATAATCTTCCAAAACTGCACCAGGAGCTGGGAACTGAGTGTTTGAACACGGGAGCCTGTGGGGGACATTTCACATTCAGACCACAACACCTGTGTGGTCAAACTACTTTATCTTGTCAAGACTTTATCAGTGAGAGAAGTCACAAACTGGTTCCTCAAGCTCTTTTCTGTGTAGATATTCTCCATGTCTAAACCTGCATCATCCATAGTCTTGTCTATTTCAAGAAAACGTACCACCAAGTAACAAGGATAAACTAGTTCATTCATCCATTCCTTTATTCACCCACTTACTTTATTTATGTATTCAGCCTTGTTCTAACACTGGATGAGGGGATAAGATTTCTTTTGAAGAAGATCTTTGAAATAAAGAAGTCTCAGCATAGGATCACATTTAGATATAGTGTAGACATGACCTTACTTCTCAATGACTAGATCCTTTATTTCTTAAACATAAACACAACCTTGATCCAAAAGGAGAGTTCCACAATTCCATCAATCAAGTACAATCAATTTCTTATATCTACTTCAACTGATCCAAAGAAGCAGGGGGGTTATAATCCCCACCATCATCTTTATCAATAGAAAGGGGAAGAGTGGAATACATCAACATGACTTTTGGGGAGACTCTTGTTTAAGGTCCTTGAATCTCAGAGATCTATCCACAGATAGCCCTGGGATGTCTTCTTCTCCTCAAATATTCCAATAAGAATTATCAGTGATTTTGCCTGCCTATCTGAAGTTTTGGATTAGAAAGACTAACTTGGGCTAGAACAATCTCTAGATGTCTTTGGTTGTTGATTTATCTTCATTTAAAGATATATATTTTTTAAAATGATGAATGAGACCAAAATTTATTGAAAAAATTTGCCTAGCAGCAAAATTAAGTTTTCCAGGCAAGACATCCCAGGGCTATCTGTGGATAGATCTCTGAGATTCAAGGACCTTAAACAAGAGTCTCCCCAAAAGTCATGTTGGTGTATTAAGGTATCAGCTACTCTATTCTTCCCCTTTTTATTGATAAAGATGATGGTAGAAAAATATCAAAGAAACTTTTTATTAATTAGCCAGTAATAATCTGTATCAAATTATTCAGCCATCCTGCTACGTAAGAATGACTTTCTCACACTTCAGATGAGAAAAATGGTGCTCTAGGGGATTAAGTAGCATGCACCTTGTCACACAGCCAGAAGAAGGTTCACATGTATCAGTTGTCAGTTGCTATCCTTGTGCCCAGAACAAAACACCTCCAGATTCAGCCATTTCAAACAGCTACTGTTGTTCCTGGGGTTGTTGGTCCACTGAACTTTGATGTCAATCTTTGTCCTGTTCTGCCCATGAAGCTGGACTACTGTAGATTGGCAGGTTTTGTGTCTGTCAGTCTTGGTTGGTGTCAAGGATGGTGTGAGTCCATTTCCAGTGTAGCATTCTAGCAGGAAGGCCAGGCAAGTCCTTGTGTTTATTGAAAGAGCAGAAAAAGAACAAGCTACAATGTGTAAACACTGTTTACATTTTTTAAGGTCTGGGTGTCATTTATTGACAGCCGCTTACATTGTCTTTTCTTCCCTTGATTGCTTCCTTTAGAGCACCGGCCCCTAGCCCTCCAGAAAGAAGGGCAATCTTTAAGAGCGGGAGTGGGAAGGCAGATGCACAAGTCCTTGGTAGGTGTGCTCAGCCCTGGCAGGATGCAATCCTTCAAGTTGGAATCCCATTGGGTATCTGAGAGGACCAATGTGGGGAGTGGAAAGGAAGTTTTCAACAGGACTCATATCTCAATCCAGGCCTCTTGTACTATTCCAAGTCCATCCCAGTTTTAGGACTCTGGTGAGGGCGGCAAAATCAGGCCCACCCACCTTGATAGGCAGATAATTCACTCCATGACCTGTTTGCACACATCTGTTTCTGCTCGTCACAGTTAGGGGGAATGGGCCTTACGGTTAAGATAGACTACTTCCTCTGGCCCTCCCCAGCTGAATCTGTGTTCAAATGACTGGAAAAAAATGAGGGCTTGCCTTTTTGGTTCAACTGTGTGTGCCACTGTCCTCAAATCTTCGATATACAACAGAATGGATGCTATGGGTCTACTCAGGCTGCCAGCTGTGCTCCCATCGATCACACACACTGCCCTGTCTTTCTTCTGCCAACTGTCAGTGCCTAGGGTGGAAGCCAGCAGGCTCCAAAAGGCTCAAAGCCAGTCTGCATAAGCACTTGGCAATTTGGGATATGAAAATGGGTTAAAAAAAAAAGTGGAACAACAAAAGCTTCATTTGATAATTAGAGATCCAAGTGATTTTGCTTTTATTTCCTTCATGTTAAGCCAATCATGAAATTTCACAGTGATTTCTGGGGTGGGGCAGAAGGAAAGTGTATTCAGAATGATGGAGGCCCAAGAAGGTGCAAGCAGGGGAGGCCTCACTGGGGAAGCTGGAGGAGCACCGAGTGCCCGGATGGCAGGTAGGTGACGTTCTGAGAGCGGGAGAGCTGGTAAGCAATGTCCTCAGCAGCCTCCAGCTTGCGCAGCTCAATCAGGCCATCACCTGCTGTGGCCAGTGAGTTGGCTATCAGCGCGGCTGCCTGGGAGTCACCCTCAGCAGAGATGATGGCTGCCTTCTTCTGCTGCTCAGCCTTTTCCACCATAAATCTGGCCCTCTCGGCTTCCTGCTGAGCCACCTGTTTGGCTTCCACTGCTTCTGTGAACTCTTTCCCGAAGGTCAGATGTGTCAGGGACACGTCATCCAGGATGAGCCCAAACGTTGTGGCTCTCTCTGTGAGGTCATCGCTCACCTGCCTCGAGACCACCTCTCGCTGGGTGATCAATTCTCCAGCATCAAAGCGAGCCACTACCGACTTGAGGATCTCTGTGGTGATGGATGGCAGTACCCGGTTATCATAGTCCTCACCGATGCTGGTGTAGATGCGAGGAAGCTGGCTGGCCACCGGCCGGAAGAGGATGCGTAGTGTGATGCTGACATTCTGCAAATCTTTGCTACCAGTGATGACTGGTATATTCCGGGGTTGTGAGCGGCAGTCAAAGATAATGGGTTTCTGTACCCAAGGGATGAGAAAATGAGTCCCTTCCCCTACCACAATGTCCTGCACTCCACGGAATCGGTCAAAGATGACAGCTCTGTGCCCAGCATCCACATTATATAAGGCAGAGTTCACCACGCCTCCTGCAACCGCTAAAGCTAGGCCGAACTTTCCAATGGACTCAAACACTTGGGCAGCCATGATTGATTCTGTTCCCCCTCTCACACCTGTTTCCATTCTGACCTCCACATGTACCCCCCCCCATTGTTTGCTCGTTTATGAGTCATACATCAGCTGTGTTAATATCTCATTGACCAAAGTAAGTTACATGGATGAGGTAGGAGTCAAGGAATGGACAGAAACGCTACCAGTAGTTGGATGAGTGGAAGGCTATCAGGTGGGTCAACTCAGGTGCTCAAGTCACTTTCTACCCCTATGGATGAAGGCAAAGTAGATTTTTTTTTTTTGCTGACACCACTTATTTTTATTCAATAGAATACAATCTATGAATACTATATATAAGAAGAAAGTAAACTTATACAAGGAAATATTTACATACTGATCAAAGAATGGATGTGTTTTGTAAATTAGAAGCCTCCGCTAAAAGAAGTGTCATTTAACCAAAAATAATTTTCAAAGTGGGATGATAGATCTACAAAAACCAAACCAAACCAAACAAACAAACAAAAACAACCACTGTACTGTCTTGGCCAAGAACTAAACTCCTGGGTTCAGAATATACCTCAATACCCTAGAATGCTATGAAATGGTCATTTAAAAACTCCAACTTTGCCTTGTCTAAAATCAAGAAGAGTTAATAGAAATTTCTAACTTATTTTTTTTTGCTTTTTCTTTTTTCACTAATTTTTTTATTTGCTTTATATACCAATCACAGTTTCCCCTCCTTCCTCTCATCCCATTTCCTTCCCCTACCTCCTTTCTACCCCCTCATCTACTTCTGAGAAAGGATAAGGCCTCCCATGGAGTCAACAAAGCATAGCATACCAAGTTGAGGCAGTACCAAGCTCCTCCCCACTGCATCAAGGCTGAGCAAAGCATCTCTAGACCAACAGCTATGGAGCCTGCATGGGACCAACCTAGGCCCTCTGCATGTGGGTGATAGTCGTGTAGCTTGGTCTGTTTGTGGCCCGTAGCAGCGGGACCAAGATCTGTCCCCAACACATGAACTGGCTTTTTGGAGGAAATTAGTTTTTAAGGGAGAAAATGTAATATTATGACATCCTATTGTGTAATGTACTGAAAGCATATATGTTCTAAGAAGATTATATATATATATATATATATATATATATATATATATATATACACATATATATGCTAACAGGTAAATAAAAGATGTAACTTTTAAAAAATAGTGTTATCTTGAAAACAAATAACTAATTTTTTACTTAAAATAGGTTCTGAATTTCCTTAGAACCGTGTTTGGTCAAACTAAGGAGACAGTCTCAAAATTTGAATCTTTATAAAGTTTCTAAGAATCTCACCTAGCCACTGCAAATCAACTAACTTCAAAAAACTTCTTTTTAACCTTTTACAATAAGAATAAAATTCAAATGTTTCCATGAAAGAGAAGAAGCAGATTAAACTACAATTCTTGAGTTACTTCTCGGGAACTGGATTGAAACCAAAGACCCCAAGGTCAGTTGATTTTGTGACACTCACATGCTTAGATGGCCCCTTGTTCTTCCCAACACCAAACATCTGAATGTTTTGAGTGTTTTATAGACCAAACACTTGGATGCTTGGTCACATTTTTCCATTCCTCATCTGGAAAAGAATGAACACAGTCTGAGGTTTGTCTCTCAGACTTCCTAAGAAGATGACCTTGGATGCCTTAGGAAAAAAGGCAACAGTTCAAACCAGCACAAATTGTGATGACAGTCATTCCAATCGGCTGCCTAACAGGCATCCATGTAGGTAACCCAGAGCAAAGGCAAAGAAAGTGATGGTCATTTAAAAAGATGTGAAGTATGTGGGATAGGAAAGTTACTGTATGCCCAGTAGGTGCTGGACATGGAGGAGGCATACTGACACAGCCTAGCTTACCTTTGGTCTCCACTGTGTACTTACGATGATGAAGTTCTTTGTGGTTAAATGACTCACTCAAAGTCACGTGTCTGGTCAAGGACCAGGCATTTGTGTCATGATCTTGCAGAGGCTGCAAGCATGGTGTCTGCCACACAGATGTCATTTTCCAAGCTTCTATTCAGACTCACACACACACACACAAAAAAAAAAAACTGTTCGAAGAGTTGTGAAAGTGAACTGCTCTCTTGGTGTGTGCATTTGATGTCTGCAGGCTCCCATGTGTGCCTGCCATAGCTCCTTCAAGGCTCTGCTCTGTGTACCTTGTGGTCCTCCAGGTAAGCCACTGGCAATAGGCACAATCTCTCAGAAAATAAAAAACCCTTTCCCTAAATACTACCGGCTATCCTTCACACCAGGCTGCATGCAGCTGCTATTTAGACTTGAGGTCTGGATCACAAGGAAGAAGCTAAGAGCAAAAGCTCTATGTTCAATGGAAAAACCCATCAACTTGAGCTCATTCACTCTTCTTCGCTGCCAGCATAGCCGGGGAAAATGGAAAGAGAATCGGAATGAAGGGGTTTAAAAGGGCAGAACCAATGTTTGTGCTTGGCTGGGGGAACTTGCTACATTTCTTTGAATCCCCTGAAGTTGATCCCCCAGATCTTTGGTTTCTACATCCACAGATTCAGCCAACATCAAAAAATGACTCTAATACACACACACACACACACACACACACACACACACACACACACACACACACACACATACACATGCACACACTCGCACTCACACTCACACCACTGTACTTTTGAAAAGCCTGACAGGAGCAGATATTTCTTGTCATTGTCCCCTACATAATAGCATGCACACAGCTATTTTCATAGCATCTGTGTTGTATGAAGTATCCTAAGTAATCTAGAGATGTTTTAAAGTATTGGAGGGATTTATGCATTTATCCAAATACTTCATTATTTAATATAAAAGTGAGCATTTTGTTAAGTTTGGTGTCAGAGGATCTTGAAGCCAACTCCTCCTGGATACCGGGGGATAACTGTATATACAAATACAAACCAAATAAAGGATTGCATCCACACCTAAACTCAACAAGCATCCAAGGAAGTAGTTGCTCACTTGAAATACCTGATCTAGAAGAGATTTATTGTCCTGAGACTGGGTTATAGTTCCCAGAGAATTGGCTCCCAGTGTTCTGCACACCACTCATTCCAAGGACCACAGTTGATAAGTTTCTCTTGGAGGAGAGCCATCACATAAGCCCTTTATCTTCTTTGGATAGTGGAGAAAACAAGCTTTTGGCGCTTCTTTCAGATTTCAGCGTTGCTCAGACTAAGTGGGGATAGATGGGAAGCTTTTCAATAGAAAGGCTTACACTTACTGTCAACCTGATTTTCTACCATGGCGACTGTCCTTGCTTCACGATGTAACCAGGGCTACTGGTAGTCATCTGTGGAATTGCTAGGCTCATTCCCTGGAACAAACAAAGATTTGAACAGCCAGGAAAGAGAAGGCTAAACCTTGGAGGAAGTAAAAATAACAGCTTTTAACCCCTTGGGATGGGAGGGTCCCTCAAAGTTGGGAAGCTACAGACTTGATGTTGGATTGACTATTTTAAAGGGACCCTTGGTCCTCTTTTCCCCATGTTGACCCTGTTTAGATACCCACTGTGTCTTCCCACCAGTTCTGCTTTCACTTGTCACCTATGTCCCTCTGACTCCTCTTCAGTAAGACTCTGTCCTCATGTGGGTAAAAGAATTTTTATGAACTAGCTTCATGCTTATAGTAGTGTCTGGCAGAGGTAACACACTTTGTCCAGCTGACCTCAGGGGACTTTCTTAAGCATAGCTGGCCTTTCCCAGCCTAGGTGTCCTAAAGACTGTGATGAAATGACTCCTGCCTTTACCAAGAATGTCACAAATGTCCAGGCAAATTGGCAGTCCCCATTAGACAGAGCATCTCTGTGCTTCAATTTCTGTGCTGGTTGGACAGAAAGGCTGTGACACTTGGGTGGAATATTCCCAATGACAAGAAATGAAGCTGTATGCATACTTTCTCCAACCAGGTAAACTACTCAGAACTGTGAGATACCAGGAACATTACTTTACCTCTCTTTGTCTCCTTACCTTGTCCTGTTTTCCTGAGTAATGTAATGTAATATATATATTATATATATATATATAATATATATATATCTCACAGAGAATACTAAACTCAAAACCTAACAGCATGTTAATTATTTATCACTTTTCTGAAGGGTCACAGATCAGATCAAGGCGATAGTAAGCAGGGATAGGTTCAATCTCAATTGTGTCTGCCATTTTCAGGGTCAGCTCTACACCAGAGTCCAGGCTAGATGCCTCCCACCCACTCCCTACCTCAGTCTTCACAGCAAAGAATGGTAAAGGGAGATCCAAAAGATTAACTGCTCCAATATCAAAGAAGATAAATATTTATTTGTGCTGTCTCTCCTTAAAGAGAAACTTACCAACAGAGGTCCTTGGGATGAGTGGTGTGCAGAACACCAGGAGCCAATCCTCCAGGAAGAATAACCACTCACAAAATAATAGGATTAGATATTTTCAGGTAAAAAAAATTCTTAATGATTTCTTGAATCTTAGAGAATTACTAACTTCTAGTACTGCCATAGTACTGATGGACAGACACCTCTTTATGGTGGTTAGCATCAGGTGTTGACCCTGTGTTTGGCAATATGCCAGCCTTCAAAAGGTATAAATATGTAGAAACCTTGTGATTCACCTATCATCCATCTAATAACCATTCAAATACATTTGATCACTCATTATTCAGACATACTGAGTTCCTGTCATGTGTTAGAATCTATGCTATACAAAACCAGTGAGGGCTGCACCTTTTGGAGCATACATTCAAATTGTAAGGACATAACAACAGAATAAGAGAATGTAATTTGGAATCAATATTCTAGACTTACACTAAGGAATAAGAGGACTATATCTAGTCAAGATTTCTGCAAGTCCAGCTCTATATGTTAAAACTATTCTTATTTGACTCAGTAATTCTATCTCAAGAAATATATGTGGGAGCTGAAGAGATGGCTGGGCAATTAAGAGCACATCCTGCTCTTGCAGATGACCCAAGCTTAATTCCCAGGACCC